TATATTTACCATTTCACTCATTAGATCTGTTCCTAGCAAGGACTCTTTAGCCAGGGCAATGTGCAATGCTGTATCTCCGTCCTTGTCGACAGAATTTACATCTGCTCCGTGATCCAGAAGAATTTCAACCATAACCGGGTAACCTTCATTGGTGGCCACATGAAGTGCTGATTGATTTGCAACTGTAAGCGCATTGACATCACAGCGAGGCTTTCAAACAAAAAAAAAACATTTGTGATGGCTAGACTTAATTAAAGTCCTGTGCACACACCGACTATGGGAAGCACTGTGGCCTTATGGTTAGTGCGCTCTTCCCTAAATCGAGCGGTTCGGGTTCGAGCCCTGGCCGGGGACATTGTGTTGTGTTGTTGGGCCAAACACTTTACTCTCACAGTGCCTCTCTCCACCCAGGTGTATAAATGGGTACCAGCGACCTATAATGCCGGGGGTAACCCTGCGATGGACTAGCATACCATCCAGGGGGGGAGTAAAAATACCCCTAGTCGCTTCATGCTACAGAAACCGGGATACGCTCCGGCCTGATGGGCTATTTGGCTCGTATGCAGACTTTACTTTTTGCACACACCGACCGTCGAATTATTTTTTTGAAACTTAAATACCTCATCAAAGCAAAAGAAAAAAGGTTTAGTCATAACCATTATGTTACGAAAAATTGTCTAAGTCAAGTTTTAGAACCGGAAGTCATTCAGCCGTGACCAATTTGTATAAGAACATTCCAGAACATTCTAATCGTTATGTAATTACTCAGATCAGAAACTGTGTCGAACTACTTAAGCCTCATGTATATTAGAGCGAGAGTTTCTTCTGTAAAAGAGATTGATTCAAAATTGAAGAAGCTTAGTGCTGTAAATTCGTGAAGTTGCCTTACGGAAATAAATTAGGTTATTGCTGTTACCAGCGATCCTGAGTTTTGTCTGGAAACAACCCTGCTCTACAACGATACTCGTAACACATTATTTAACAGAAGAAGAAATACATACATGTACTATGTGAAGAGGGTTGACAACATAAAAATAAACGGCATTCAATACAAGCATAGGCGGTTGCGCTTTAGAATATCTGAAATATTATAATTATAATTTCGTAGGGGACACAAAAACAGGAAAAAAATTTACTCATTTCGTAGCTTGCTATTTTCTCCCTTTTTTTTTGCCAAGTATAATTTACATATACTCAAGTATAACAACGAGAAAGTTTACCTGCTTCAGGAGGATTTTGGCTATTTCACGGTGGTCATTGATTGCTGCAATATGAAGGGTTGTAAACCCGTCACTTTTTGCAACATTCAAGATATCGCCGGCCTTTGCAAGAAGCTTTTCCACAGCTCTGTTAAGTTGAACACAGAACAAGTTTATTCTTCAAAAAGGCCATAATAAGGCTGATAGCAACTGAAATAATTAATCAAGAGATAAAATTATTATATTTTGCGATGTTTAAGTTGGTTCACACTAATTATTACATATTCGAGTAAGTGACAATAAATACTCTATCAAATTCACACCTAAATAATAGCCCTAATCTATTTCTTGTATGAACGCCCTTAACTTCGATCATGATCCTTTGTTTTTGTTGTTGCTGTTGTTGTTGTTGTTGTTTTGTTTGTAGTGACAACGTACTAGAGCAATATTCCCGAACCTACCGCTTATTTCCTTTCAGAATAGCGTACTGAAGGTAATTGAATCCTCCTCTATTGGAAACTGTCAGGGAGAGCCTCGCGTTATCTAACAGCATATCAAACATGCTATGCTTCTGACCAGAGATGGCGTCATGAAGGGGGGTGTCACCAGCTTCATCCTAAAAGCAATCCACGCGCATTATTATGGAGCTCTTGGTATTATTTCAAAATCATTAAACGCTTATCCGTGCTCAATTAAAACCGCGAACTGTTTGTAGATTAGCATTAAGTCAGATCATTTTCTTATTATCTTATGTTACAAGAGGGGTTTGCTTAAAATAGCGCCATATGACCATGAAGAAGCTGGCTTGGCAGAAATGCGATAAATTCGTATCCCTTTGTCATTGACACGAGCTATTTAAGCCCGGTATTGTGTGTTACTTAGCCGAAGAATTTAGGAAGCTGGACAGAAGCAATTCAACAAAAATCGTTCTAACTTCTCCCATTTAAAGTTGTGCTCAAAAATCGGACGCTCCACCTGATACTGGACAATGGACGACTCGAGAAGACTACTAATGTTTCTTTGAATACAATTGGGGATGCTTGACTTCTTAGTAAAACTCAGTGGTCACGTTAAACAAACCTGTAGATTAACATTACACTCAGAGCACTGTGTAAGTATCCGTACAGCCATTTCATTATCTCTTTTCACAGCCAAATGTAACGGTGTACTTCTGTTACTGCTGTGCTGCACATTTGGGTCGAAACCTTTCTCCAATAAAAGCTTCACTGCTTCACCACTCCGGTCCCTGAAGTCAACAGACAGCTATCGATAACTTACACGAGGTCAGAAGCCTAACAACCAGTAACTAACTGAGGTGAGTGACGACCCAAAGTAAAGTAAAGAAAAAGAAATGCAACTTTAAAGCAGGTATTGGGCTTTCCATATTTTCCCCTTACACCCCCTCAAGGGGCCCTTGGTCAGGCGTTTTGTTTTGTTTCGTTTTGTTTCGTTTTCCACTACACAACACAAGGATTATGGCTGCAGGCCGGACTTATGCACCAGCCTCCTGACAAAACATGCGCCTGCTTCAGGAGTCTTATAACAAATAAAAATATGTTTACTTGAGTCAACTTAAGTCGTATGCCTACTGATGTATTACATAAACTCACGCATAAGTGGAGTGGTGCATAGCTGTGTATCCCTGACTGTCCTGCGTGACGAAGACACAATAGCATAACAGTTAAGTATTATTACAAAGAAAGTAAAAGAAACACTACACGTGATTTTTGGTAAACACCATGTTTGGAACACGTTCGATCTCAGTCTTTTCTTTTACTCTTATACACCACGACATCCTGCAAGACTACTCACTGAAGCTGGGGATACGTAAATGTGAGGCGCTAATAGTGCATTTATATAGAGCGGGTTTACGAAAGCTGTTTTTACGATAACTGCAGACATTCGCACGCCTTCATTGGCTAATTTTCATTTTCAATAGGCGAACACATGAATTTATAATTTATGCTATGTGTCAACAAGCGCGAGCGGACAATTTGACAATTTGTTATCGTAAAAAACAAATTGAAGTCAGTTTTTCATGCGTCTGTCCTGTTATTCATAATGAATTTCGTCATAACGTTGTCAAGGTAGTCTGCAGATCCACTCGGCGATCCACAGTTACTTTGACAATGTTATGATGAAATTCATCATCAATAACAGACGCATGAAAAACTGGCGTCAATTTGTTCATAACATACGGAATTCTTACACAATTCG